CAAAGATGTTCTCATTACCAATAATGCAAGTGCGGTCGCAGAACATACCCCGTCTTCAATATGGTCTCACCATCAACTATCTTCGCAACACAACCAATCACAACAACAGCCGCAAGCATATTCAGCTCATTATAATTATCACAATCCTTCCTCAGGAAAGAATAAAACAGCATCATCCACAACGCATACTTATCCTGTGGGTGGTGGGGGAGGAAATGGAAACAACGACCGCCATCACCATCACCATCGAAGCGCAAGCCCTCCGACAGTTACCCGCACTATTACTGCTGATAAAGAAAATCAACCGAGGGAGAGTCGCAGGCGGCGAGCTTCGTTGCGCTCACGATCTCGATCACGCTCACGTTCCAATGAACGATTTTCACGCCGCTCTCGTTCTCGCGACCGTCGCATTAATGAACGCGAAAAATCCCAAAGACAATTTCGCAACAAATCGCCACCTGTTGCAGGTGGTTGCGATAATTCCAGGTACGAGCGCCGCCGGGGGGGTGGAGGAGGTGGTGGCAGTATTGGTGATCGGCGCCGTATGATGGTGAACAGCAGTAATATAAGCGGAGGGGGAGAGCGCAAGGCAAATGCTACAAGTGGTAGTCGTTCAGCGAACCATTCATCGAACTCACCACGCAGTCGCTCGCCTTCTTTGGATCGCGTTAATAAGAGTAAGAGATCTCCTAGTACTGGCCGTGGTCAATTGCGCGGTGTGGCTAGCTGTGCGACGTCGCCAGAGTCACGCCACCACCACGAGTCTAAAAAACGTCAAAGATGCCGTGATTTCGATGAGAAAGGGTACTGTGTTCGTGGTGAAACTTGTCCGTGGGATCACGGTGTTAATCCGGTTGTGTTCGAAGGATTAAACAACACAGCTTTGATAAGTATGTCGTTACGTGAATATAATCCTGATGCTCCAGATCTTTGGTCTCGCGCGGGACCTCCCAGTGCAGCTATGGTGAACGCTGCAACCCCGGGGACCTTAATCGCTAGCTCTGCAGCTGCTGGTATAAATCCATTTTCCGGAACTACACGTACTGGTGGCGTTATGATGGGCGGCCCCGGAGCACCTGTTGGATTTTCTCAAGTGCAAGGTCCTGACAAAGTCAGTAACGGCGCCGCGGATTATGTGCGCACTGCAGCTGGAGTTGGATTTCGGGCAGCAGCTCCGATGATACCTTTTCCTTTTAATCCGGCCGCGGTAACTACTCCTTTACAGCGCGAACTTATACCCATACCAGTGGTTGATGCCACTGGCGGAGCAGTCGGTGTTGGCGGCGATGTAAATGCCACCCTACAAGCACAGGGTAAAAGGCGTTTTGAGTTGGAAGACTCTGTGGCTATAGCCGAAGGGCCACCCAAACGTAAAATTCCAGCACATAGCCGACTTGGGCCACGTGTACCTAGCATGCAAAACTGCTCACTTGAACTACGCAAAGTACCACGTGGTCTTAACACTATTGCCCACCTGAATAACCATTTTGCCAAATTCGGAAAAATTGTTAACATCCAAATCTCTTACGATAGTGATCCGGAAGCTGCTATTGTAACCTTCTCTACACACGCCGAAGCTAACGTGGCATATCGTAGCACTGAAGCCGTGTTAAATAATCGTTTTATTAAGGTCTTTTGGCACACATCTGCTGACACCCCGATATCCGGAGATGGTAATACCGTCATAGGTCAACAGACGGGAGGAGGACGCAAGAATAGTCAATATCATTTAAATAATGTGCCAGCTATACCAACTCCATCAGCAGATTCAGCAAAAACGGCCAATGTTAGTCAAAATCAAGCTGGTCCGAATGTAAACAACAATAATAATAATGCAAGCATTCAAGATGCCACGACAATCGCTAACACGACAGCAAACACAACTATCACCACCACAACTGCAGTGGTCGCCACCCATGTACCGACACCCTCCTTAAGACTCAAGAACAATGTACCACCACGCCCCGTTGGCGTAGCAAATGCTATTATTCGCAAAAAACAAGAGGAACAGGTAAAAGCTGTAGCCCAACTGGCCAACGGTTTACGCAAACGTAAGCAGGAACTTTTGCAAAGCTATTTAAAGCAAATGAAATCAGCTTTAGAGTTAGTAGAACGATGTGAACCATCAGATCCTCAACGTGGTAAAACTTTGGACACAATCAAAGTACTTCAGGGAACCATCGACAGATTACGCAAAGAAATTGCTACCGAACAGGAGCAAATGCAAGCTCAAATTCAAAATCAGCAACCACCACCGCCAGTGAAAAAAACTAAGGAGCAGCAGAAAAAGGAATTGCTTGATATTGAGTTGGAGCTATTTGCGCAACAGCAGGAGGGCAATGATACTACTGCTATACAAAAGCGGCTAGAGGAATTACAGCGAAGTCTTGGTATAGTGCCTGGTAGTACTCCGTCGACTGCTATTACTCCAACAGTCCAGGGTTCCCCTAATAATCTGGCCAAATCCAGTCATTACATGGCTGCGAGCAGGAATACCGCGCGTGCACGAAACTCCTATCCTGAAGGTTCCACCCGCGTAGACAGACGTCCTAAGACCATTGTGGTAACGGGTTTTAATAGTGAAGAAGCTGATTTTGTTCTAGGACACTTTAAGGTAGTTTAAAATATAAATTAAACTCCAATTTGTAATCATTTTTTTAATTATCTATAAATAGCATTTCGGGGAAATTACAAAGCATGACATGGATTTGGAAAAACCTCAGCTGATACTCTCTTACGCTACACGTATAAACGCTGAACAGGCGATATTGAGAGGCAAACTATTTAAGGATAAACGTTTGCAAATTGTTTTTGCTCCTGTTGTACAGACGTCAAACGTAGCCTCCAGCGTTTTTAATAAAATGAGACCGATAGCCAGTCCAGTGTATAAAGAAGCTACAACAGCAGAACTCAACAAAACAAACCAGCCTCAAGAAGCTACCACAGCTGCCATATCTTCTCCCAATCCTAGCCAGTATAATAGCGAAACAGAGGCTACTGCCACGGATACTCTGCCTGAATTAAGGCTTGAAGATGAAGAAGAGGATGAAGAATCTGAAGACCGCTCGTGGCGACGTTGATTCTTGCCAAATCTAAACAAAAGCCATGCCAAACGTAAACAACATAGTCTAAGGTATAGGCTTTAAAAATATACTTCACGTAATATATTGTACGAAAATTTAGACGCATGCAATACCCAAATAATTGTGCGCTAAAAAGCGTAGCAATTTCAGTACTTTTTTCTTTTCCTCTTGTAAATTCAAACAAATCATTAATTTCGTAATATCAGGAACATTACAAGCACACAAAGAGATATTTTAAGCCAAGCTTTTTCAAATCCAGGAGTTCAACAGCGGAGACTCGAAAAAATAAGTTAAATTCTGAAATTATTGCTAACTTATGGCAAAAACAACCTTGAAAACCTCTCAATATTCATTAGACCTACAAAACACGTGGGATTCACAAAAGTGGTTTAAAAGAAAAAATATTGTGTTAGAAAAGTCCATACGTACAAACGCAGAAGTTCTAATGAAAAACCAATTCAATATTTTATCTTTCGTTTTCAATTTGCATCGTC